TGTATGACCACATTGAATCATAAAAAGTTCACTCCATGTCACCGGGAAAAAGCATATAACACAATGAGTGCAGGTAACATGTAAACCTGAAATGATTGATATAAGAAAGATTTAACAGCTTGGAGAAATGTAAACAAGATGTTCACAGGTTTCATAGATGTTAACAATAGAAGAATAAATAAGACTTTTACTAACAACATCTAACATCAGGTTGAAAGATATGCGATATCCAATTAGAAATTTCAATAGAAAATTTATTAAAATTTTTATATTAATTAACAAGAGAACCACAAATTACCAAAATTATGCAAAGTGACGATCGCTTTTTTTATTAATTTATTAATTTAGCAAATTTTTCAAACAAAAATTTTAGAAAAAAGTTATAAAATCAGTCAAATTTTTAACAACCTATAAATTATAATCAAATCGAAGTTGTATCTTTCCAACATTATGACTAAATCGCAAAGGTCATCATCAACAGGGAGAGCATTAGTGACACGCGCGACAAGCTCATATTTATCTTTGCCTCACATCTAATGCATTCATTATTCTCTCTTTTTTCATTCTATCTAAAATTACAATTACTAAAGAGTAATTAAGAAGAAAATTCCAGTAATGAGTACAAATTGATCATTAAAAAATGAAAATCGTATTTCTTCCGATTTTTGTTTGTGTGAATATTTCACTAAAATTCTGAAGCATTAAAGTAAAACAATTCGAAAAGCATTTCAAATAATTTGTGTTGTAATCGAAAACGGTTCACAAATATGAATATATGATATTGCCTACTACGATTTCATTTGAATTTTCTGCCATTTTTCCTCATTTTGATTTCGTTTTAATGTGTTCACACGCATTATCGTATGATTAATATCGAATTTTCTTAATTGTTATTCTTAAATTCAATCATTTCTACTTCAACTGCCATTTACATTATAAATTACTTCAGCTGATTACTGAATGTAACGATTTACTAAATTTCGACATAGTTTTATTTCAATGAAATTATAACAGAATAAAAAGGTATTCAATCCTGCGTATGGAATACGAAAGACTGTCTAACGTTAAGCTGATAATTTAGATTTTTGTTCTTCACACTAACTTTCATAAATTTCATTTTGTATTTTATTTGAAATAATTTCTAATAAAATCATATCTCAATTTCTTGGGAGCATTTTTTCAAGAATATTAAGATCAAGCATATATTGATAAATTTAGCATATATATATGGGACTGTGGGCAATTGGAATTTAGAATAAAAGCATCGTTTAACTAGAAAGTTGTCTTATTTTCAATTATATCATTTTAGACCTTAACTATAACAATCTCTGTATTTTGAAACGATCACTTCAAACGATATGAATCATTTCGTTTAGGTCAAATATTCCAAACTTTTGCTTTTAGTTAGAAGTAATAAAGAAATTGATAGCGTTTGACAAGAAGTGTTTCAGGTGAAGTGAAAGGTAATAATAATTGCTTTTTATTGTGTGAAGCTCAATTTACTTAGCATTTTAAAAGAATTGGGATAATACCTGCATAAGGTAAATTCATTGGACATTTCAAGTTTTCCAATTCCAAAGTTTTGGCAGAACAGAAAAAATTTCAAGTTTGAAAACAAACTTTTTAATCATACTTTTGAATTGCAACTTGATATGAAGAGTAACATTTCCACTATCATAAAATAAAGAAAACTAAGTGGTAGAATAAAAAATAATAAGACTAGAGTACCTACAATATAGATAGTCATCTTTTCATTTTATAGTAAGCATTGGTTAATTAATATCAGTTGACTTACCACTTTTAGATTTTTTATTCCATCTGATAAAATAATGATATTAGGCTGATATTTAATTACACATAAAGTTGGTGCTGTATTTAACCTGACCTTTGATGAGAAACATTGGAAAGTGGGAAAATTACAGAAAAAGTTATTAGAAAAGGTAGAAAGTTTGTTTTACTAAAAATGTTTGCAATTATTAATTTGTAATAGAAAATAAATTATTTTGAAAGTGAATAATGTTGGAAAAATGTTTATAATTTCTATGATGGTGTATTAAGAAATATAGTTTATTGATCGGAAACTAACTTTAAATTTTCGTTTTCTAATTTAGCAACTTTGACTTCATATAACTTAACAATTTGTGCTAGACCCTTCAATTTTAGTTAATTCATTCTCAAAGTGCGGTTACTCCTTCCAACTATCCCAAAATGATTGGTATTTACTTCATCCGATACTCTATCAAAAATTAGTATCGTTGGGTTTTAATATCGATTTAAATCCGAAATTTTCAATCGTTGAAAATTATTTGTTAATTCAGGAAATTGCTAATTAAGTCATTATTTTGAAAATAGGTTTATTGATTTTTTCAGGTTTGAAACTTATTATAGCTTTAATATTCATTCTTCAAGCTAATATTTGTGAACAAGTTAGCATTCACCTTTTCTCTGAAATAATACTAATCAAAAAGTATCATTTCAAATAATAGATTGAAATAAATTTCGATGATAACTTGAAGGAAAAATTACATTTTAATCGAATTTCTTTTTTTTAAATCTAATATTAATTAAAATATTATTTGAAAGAATGATTTTAGTGAATCGATTTTTCTTTTGTCTTTTCTCTTTTCCTTCTACCTCAAATAAAAACGATCATACATAACTTTACATTACAGTAATACTGATAAAGAAAATTAATTTTTCAGTTGAAGCAGACAAGATATGAACAGGAATATAAACTTCCTCTTGCAAATCACAATTTCCAATGCAATTATAATCATTTTACAAGTCATCAAATTTCTTTTTAATTTATCAAACATTGATTTATTATAATTTGAAATTGATTTCGAATGATTTCAATATCTTTTAATACTTTATAAATCTGTTGACCAAATAGCAGAAGATGAATATTATCCGATGATAATTTATCAGAAAAATTTTTAACGATGAATAAAGTAGGAAAAGAGAAAGAAATTGACAAAGTACTAATGAAACTAATAAATATAATCACTCCACACATTTAGCATTGTTTATTTTGTTTGCTAAGTTTCATAAAGAAATTTTTTTAGGAAGTAATAATTTCAATGTAAATAAAACAAAAGTACCAATGAAGAATATTTGTAATTTATCGAATATTATTACTAAACAAATAAATCAAATAACAAAATGGTTGTGCATTTTCATCAAATATAACGCTGATGCAATTTTGTTTGTTATTTACCATATATTTCTTTAAATAATGCTTATTTATTCATTTTTTCTTCTTATTTACCAAATTACCTAATTATTGGATTGCTTATACAATAAGCATTCATTCATAATGTTGCCAAACTTTTAGGATGGCTTTATCCATAAATGTATTTACAATAAAATAAATGTATTCAATGAATGCAACAAGAAGAGAGGCTTTTCAGATATGGTTCAACTATCTTCCTTTGCTTGAACATTATCGGATGCTTATTTATCATTATTTTGAATAACTTAAAAATTCTATTTGAACAACAAATTATTTCTCAAAATAATATGGTCATGAAATTTTAAATTTTTAAAACATTTTTGATTCTTTATTCTTTCTTGATAGAGAATTTCAATGGAGAAAACAAACTGTTTATACTAAAAATTAGATTTATTCGAATATTCAAATTTCAAGTCAGAACTTTGATCAGTTTATCTGATCTGATCAGATCAATGAATTTAGTAAACAAATAACTCTCCCATTCTTATCAAATTCAATAAAACTGAAAATCAGAATTTGATGTGTTTCAAAACTTTGCATTTTGAAATGCTATAAATTTGCTTTCAAAAATATCTAAGAGTTGAAATGAAATAGAATAGGTAGAAATTCCGATTCCAAAAATATCTCTTTATAATGTGATATAAACTTTCTTACATTTACACTATTTTTATTTGTTATAAAATGGGAAAAAAGAAGGGAAAACATTTTGTTGTTGTAATTAAATGATATTAAGAAAAGTTAAATTCGCTTTTCACCAATGGTTTATATTATTTGGTTTTTCGGATTTCAGATCTTACAAATGAATTTGCAAGCAATACTTAAAAAGATTAGTAAAAACGCTGTATTATACGATCCAAAATTGACTCATGGTTTAACTAGAGTTGATGCAACAACACAAACGTTTCCGATATTATACCTATTCCGAAAAAGAGAATTGAATGAAGGAGAAACTGCTCGTCAAACTGATGCTTGAAATTGAATTTACTGATATGAAATTGCAAATTGTACTGATGATATTTTAATCGAATTAATGAAATGACATTTAATGTCACCTTTTTACTTTAATACTCAATAGCATATCGAAGTTAATTGCAATTAACGTACGTGGTTTGTTATTATCTGAAGTTACGATCTGTCGAGATGCATATTTAAACAACTACAATTTAAATACTGAATTAATTTATAATGAATTATTACAAGTATTTTACGATCCCGAAATTGAAGAGATACTGGAGAAATTCGATAAGAAATTCTGGAGGTTAAATAAAAAGTTTGGAAAGATGTATGAAATGGAAACGAGAAAAATCAAAATTAAAAATGGAATAATACTGAAAGATGGCCCGGGATATAATGAACGCAGTTGTAATGAATATGTGAGAATTTGTTGCAAAAATGGAATATCTGTTTGAAAAAGTTATCAATCATTTCCTTAATAAAGAAAAACATTATTAATTGAACTTTGGCTGATCCATCAAATTCATATCACTTTAGAAAAATTGAAAATTAAATTTTGTTAAGAGTATGGTCGAAAAAAATTTGAGTGAATCTTATTATGCAATTGTGAACATATATCTGACACTATCAGTCCAAAGAAATAAATCTACGATTCGCTGGTAGCAAACATAGGTTTATCATTTTAAATTAGTATATTTGCATATTTAAGCCAAAAATTTGTGACGAACTTTTAAAGGTGCTTAGATTATAGTGAACTTCATTAAAATATAAATTTCCATCTGAAGCTGGTTGTCAGCTTTCTTTCAACTGTAAAATGGATGCAGAATTAGATGATGAAAGTATTACTGATGACGATGACTATGAAGAGGATGAGAGCAGAGATTTAGCGACACCCCAAGAAGTTGTTGAACAGATTGTGAAAAGTGGTGAAAAGGTAGAGAGCACTTTAATTTTCCACCATTTTACCTTAACTTATCTACTTAAAAAATAAATGGAAATCAAATGATGCAGCAAATATAATTTCATTAAATTTATTTTAATATTAATTAATATTAATTTATTAGTTATTAAATTAATAAATAATATAATTAGAAATAAGAAAAACTAGCTTGAAACTGTCGAAAATTTTAATTTTTAAAACTTTAGTTTTTTGCTAAATTGTAAAAAATACTTTTATGTTTTAATAATCGCACGTTCCGTATAAACTGAAATATAAAATTATTAGCTTTCTACCATTTACACAATAGATTTTTTGCTGCAATGTGGTACCTAATTAGTTTTGTCAACAACTGCTAATTGAAAATTGATTAATTTATAAATTAAATTTAGATAATTGTCAAATGGCATAATATAATTCTTAAAGAGCCACCAAAATTTGATGCATTTCTTGAACAAGCAAATATATTAAAAAATCGTTATCCAAATGTAATTTTATATGATCGAACACGTGTTAAGTTACTTGGTGATAAATTGGGTGATGATTATTATCATGCATCATATGTTGATTCATATGATCGATCAGGTTTAATTATCATCCTCTAACATCCTCTAATTTATGATAAATTTTACAAATATAACTTAGTTATCACTTATTTGCCATCAAATCTTTAAGAGATGATTACATGCTTTTTATCTTTTCATTTAAATGCTTAATATTTCAGTAGAAAAATTTTCAGCAAAATTTTGTTGTGACATAATGAATTATGAATAATAATTCATTAAATCAAAATTTGCAGATGGTTATTTACTTGCACAAGCACCATTTGATGAAACGACAGAATCCGATTTCTGGCGTATGATTTTTCAAACGGGTGTGAAATTAATTGTTCTCTTAACGGATGTTAATAATCTGGAAGGAAATCGTATAATCAAGCATTTTTGGCCGGAATCAGCAACAAATGCACGCAACTATCCGGAAGCTAATATTAAAGTAAATTATATGGAGAGTGTTATTGTAAGTTTCATTTCAAAATTTCATCTCATCGATTTATAAACATTTACATAATGTAAAAATGATGCAATCGGGAAATTAAAAATCAAAAGTTATTTTAAGGTTGAAAAATTTTATTGTTGAAAATTAATTATATGTTGAAAACAGAATCAATTTGATATTCTGATCGTACTCCGGCACTTATACATTGTTTTTTATGTTTATCAATGATTCTATTTATAATACAATGATAAAAATAAATATGTTGAATTACTTAAACGATTTATGAAATGATTTCAAAAAACAATAAATGTGCATTTATTCATAAAAATCTCAATAAAACTTTAGTTTCGTAATTTCGATTATCCTACTAAAAACAAATGTGGAAGTTTAACTCTTTTTGATTTTAATATTTATCACTGACAAAATTTTTAGACTGCCTTATATGATTGGTATAAATTTTCAATTAGCGATATTACTGGTATGAATAAAATTGCAGTATTAATGTTACATTATCGAAAATGGATATATGATAAGATTATTCCGGATAATTTATTAGAATTCCGATCTGAGGTTGATAATTGTTATTTTTTTATTTGATTATTTTCTCGAAATTATAATTATTACAATTACTCTCATTTTTGTTAATTTCCTTCTATTGAAAATTAATTACCAATTAATTGTTAATTGAAGATAATGCAATTATTTTAAAACAAAGTTGAATTAATAAATTATTTCCAAAAACAATAAAAAAGTTTTTTAAAAAGAAAGAAAATATTTGAATGGAAAAAATCACATAAATTAAATTATTTTATAAAATTTTTATTATAAAAAAGAAAATAATTATCTAACTTTTACCATTTTTATTATGCGTAAGTTTAATTTAAAATTCCAAAAAATTTTTATGTTAAAAGATGGGAATCTCAAATAGCAAAAAATGGCTATATTGGGCCAATATGTCTTCTATGTCCTACAGGCGTTCATCGTTCTGGTACTTATGCTGTCCTCGATATTGTTCTTGATCGAGTAACTGCTGAAAAAAAGGTATAACGATTAGATTTACTGTACTGATATGCAAATTACTCAAATTCTACACAAATCTCATAATCAAATTTAATTTATTTCATATCTTTAGTAATATTAAAATTAGCAGAATGTTACTATAATCCGCATTATACCAATCCATTTTCACCTCTGTTGTGATTTAATGTATTTGAATTGAAAGAATTTTATAGCGAATAACCTTAATATGCAAGGAATAAAATATCGAAATTGTAAAAAACAAATAATCGTACAAATTTTTATGAATTCCTATTTTTTTCAGTTTTATAATCTTCAAAGATTGCAAAGAAGAGCCTTTGTTTTCGATTTAAATTTCAGGTTGGTCTACTGGAAACAGCAAGTATTGTGCGGAAGCAACGTTACGGATGCATGTCCTATTATTCACATTATAGCCATGTGGCTGATTTGGTCGTTCGATATGCGATAGCAATGGGTATTGTCGATATTGAATGTATAAATGGAAAGAAATAACAATGAAAATAATTAAATAATAATTCACATTATCTTTATATTGGAATTTGGATTAAAACAAAGGAAGTAGTATATTTCAGTTCCATGCAAAAAATTATCATACGATAAAATGTAAAAAGCAAAATCAAATCATTGAATGGGATGGGAATAGAATGGATGATATTTGAATTATTTTAAAATCTATTTTTGAAATTAAACATATACGTAGTTCGTTGAAAATGATCAAAAAATGCGGTGGAAACGATGCTTCCATTAAAATCATATCAAATAAAATATTAAATAGAGATAAAGAAAGCACTTTTGATACAAATGTTTATGAGCAAATTGGTGATGGAAGAAAGAATCAGGACGAACTAACCGGACACCGGAACAATTTATCTCATTTAATTCCAAAATTTCGTTTTATGGAATGCCATATTAAAATGAATGCAAAACAGAATGTTTCAATTAGATTAATTTATTACTGTTAAATGTTAGGATGAACAAAAGGACAAGTAAAAAACTTTTCATAATTTTCCTTCGACAGATCAAAAACTACTCGCTGCCATCTGATTTGAATAATTTTGCGGAACAGCGATGCATTCACTATCCTTCTTACTTAGCTTCAGATCTTCGTGCATGTTTATCTACATGTGTATATCATCAGTAGTTGTTCAGAGCACGGACAGAGGGATTCGATAAGTTCATCATTAGCTTTCATATCCCATAATATCATCTCTTTAACAGGTAAAGATCAATTATAGAGAATATAACAGTAAGTGAGATCTTCCATACATTCTCATAGATCTTTCAATATTTTCTCTATAATACATCAATTTGCATTCAAATGCATACGATTGGATAGGTTATAATTCATTTACATTCATTTGTTAATTTAAATTCAATATATATATATATAATTGTATGACTTACGAATATAATTTGGACGATCTTTCTGAATGTAATCAGAAATTTGATGAATATTTTGCGAAAGCATTAATAGTTGACAGTGAAAAATTCAACGGAATGTTTATTACAAATCTTTTCTTTCTTTCTCTGTTAGAAATTCATTACAACATTTAGTGTCTATTTGAGAAAATTCTATGAATAAAATAAAGAATTTAAGAAGGCAAGAAGTAAAAATAAAATAATCCTAAAATATAGAAATATTTTACATTTAGGCACTTAAATCATAAATAATTTTGGTAAATATATCAGTTTATTATGAGACAAAACAAAGATAATTAATGACTAAATTAATTGAAACTAAATATATTACCTGATAGAAGAACAAAAAAATGGTTGAATTTAATGGCGATACGATTGAAATTTCAATATCATCATAGTATTACAATATCGAAAATTTGACTGATGACAAATATTCTGATTCTGATAATTAAAATATCGAAGTAATTCCCAATCACACTTAAATAAACTATATATAAGTTTTGGAAAAATTTAAAACATATGAAATTAGAATAGTTTAATCCTACTAGATTTGTTAAAAAGCATTTAACACTAATAAACTCTGCATAAGAATTATTACAACGTAACATATTGACAATGATAATAATAAAATAAACAAATCGACAAACTTTTACTTTCGTTGCAAAAATTGTTAGTTGTAAAGTAATAAAAATTAAATTCTCATAATTGATTGAATTTTCAATTGTTGTGATAAGCTGAGGTATGGGTGAATTAATTGAGAGACTTATCAATTTTTATCACTTCCCTATCATTGCAATTATTGATTTATTGAGTTAATAAGTCTTACTTATAAACTATTAAATATCGTTAGATCTTTTTTTCTTTAGAGCTCAGTGCAATCCATCTTGCAGGATTAGCATATCAGTTAGAAGATATTTGATATTTATTTAAACTAACTTTCCCAAGAATGATGTTTACCATTATCAATAATCATATTGTTTTACTTAATTCAATTCCCAATTTAATAGTTATCAGTAATTCAACTGTTTAATTTTAAAAATTTACGATTTATTTTTATCAATTATTACTTCATATTTGTTTAAATGATAAAAAATTTGTTCCTAAATTGTTAGAATTCTTTTTAAATATTGCAATTATTAAAATTGCAAATTCTTACTTAAATTTAAAATTAAAATTAATTGCTAAATTAATTTCTTAGCATTGTATTACTTTTATAAGTTATTCCATTCTTTAATTTCAGGTAATCCATTTTTCTATTCTTTAAAAATTTGGAAAATATTATTCATTCTCTTTTTTTTACTTTCTTCTCATTGTGTGTTTCAATTTGATCAATTTGTTGAAAACAGCAACTTCTAATCAAATTGTTGAAAGTTCAGCTGTTCGAATTTTTTTTTGAAAATTTTTGAAATTTAACGAAAGTTTAAAACGGCTTTTTTTTAATCTTTTGTTTTACTAATCAAAAATGTCGGAAGTTTTTTCTTTTTTGAAAAATTATCAGACGAAATGATAATTTTTCAAAATATATAAAATTATGCTATTAATTTCTAGATAAAAAAAAATAATCAATGATTGATAATAGTTTTATTTGATTGAATTTTCTTTAATTGATATTATCCACAATTGCTGATATTGATATTGATATCAATATATCATTGGTATATTGATAATTTCCTAAAATTTGATATTGATAATTGATATTCACCAATAAAGAAAAGTTTTTTAGTTATGTCTTTTTAAAATTATTTTACTTTATCGATTATTATTTCATTTCATATCATAAATATTATCAACACTTCTATTAAATTTTTTTGAAAATTATTTATCGAGAGAGAGAGAGAGAAAGAGAGTGATCGTTGCAGCAATTGTTAAAAATAAGATGTTGCAATCTGACGATGGTATATATCTATCTCATTATCCATTAAAATTTCTGATCAAATAAATCCTAAAATTGAATGAAAATTTAAAATTCACAAAATTAAACTTATAATTTCGTAAAATTCTTACTCTCTTTCTTTAAATCTCTCTTCTTCCCTTGTCTATCATCCGTTTTCAATTTCATCAAATAAATAATATTCTTTCATCGATCCCAATGTTTACTTCACATTTTTTTTCTTTCCTTCAAAACAATATCGTTTCAAATTTCACCTCTAATCTATTCTTGCATATATTTCTATTTTATACTTACAGACTTCTGCTTTTATTTTTCATTTCTAAATTCTCGTATTCAATTTCAAGGCAAATTGTATTGTGAGTAAAGTCACCAAGCGATCAAAGATTATCAGCAATGTTTAAAATTTATTGTCCAATAAAATTCTCATTTTAATAGAATAGGTGTAAAAGTAATTATGTTATTACAGCTAAGCTCAAATATATCGTATTGACACATAAATAAGAAATAAATTTTTTCATTCTTTTATAATAAAAATTCATTTTTTGGGATTCAACAAATTTTTGGAAGACATTTTTTACATCCAATTAATTGTGAAATATTTTTCGTTCAATTTGTAAAAGGTCAATGAATACGGTAAAGATGAAGCTCAATTTGTTTACTGTAATTGTTGAAAGAAATTCAGACGAATTTAATGACCATTAAACAGTGACAATGATCATCCTTTCTAAGTTCTGCTTTAAAATGCGTTTTGAAGTCCCCATTTTATCCAGCCATTAAAGTGACCATTACCGCTTTGCTGATAAAATTCGCTTCATATTATATCAGATTAAGAATGGTTCATTATTGTTAAATGGAATTATTTTATTAGTTAAGCATCGTAAAGCATCAGGCTTTTCATCTTTCCGACTTAATTTAAATATTAAGTAAATACAGATACTGGACGTTGTTAACTTCTACAGCAATTTCTTTCACAATTCTGTTAAAAAGGGTTAGCATTAAAAATTACTTTCTATCAATTACCGATAGCTATTACCGATAGATAATCAATTGTCGATAGCTTTTTAAATTCAGATCTTTCATCTTTATAGCAAAATTTGCTTAATTATCGAAGTTTCGTCACATTTTCATAGAAGTTTGTTCCGAGTGAAATCCATCAACTAATGTTACCTATGATTTCATCATTCATTTTGAACTCAAATATAAGAATCGCTTTTTATATGGCATTATTTTTAGCGTCGAAAATAAACATAAAAACTAATAAAAGTCATTGGGAGGAATTATTTGACGGATTTATTTCATTTATCTTTGACCACTGTTAGTATCATTCGATATCATTTATCATTTGATTTATAAATTTAGTAAAAAAAAAAACTTTTCTAATTTTTCTTCAATTAAAAGGATCTTATATTCCCATCCATTTCTCAATTAGAAGAATCTAATTAATACTCCCAATCATTGCTTCCAATAAATTTTTTGATGATCTCTAATCTTCAAATATCTTGAAATTTGTTATATTAGCTTGCAAAAAATTTGACAACAATTACACAAAAAGACTGGGAAAAAGTTTTGACGAAGTATTTTCATCAATCAATTGAATTCATTGTCATTTCGAAATGTTGTCTATTTCTCAATTAGCTGTGTTTGTTCTTTTGCTGTGTAACTTAAAAACTAACACGAAATAAGCTGTGTAATTTGAAAATGCTGTGTAACTTAAAAATCAGTGTAGTTATTTTATATCGAATTTTTCAAATTTCAAATTTAAAATTTTTTTTTCGTTTTTTTAAAGTTTTTTCTTTGACATCATCGATCTGCTTTTATCTACAGTAATTTATTTTTAAAAGTGATAATTTACTTTCAAAATTTTAATTCAGCTAATTTTCATTACATAACAGCTCTAATATAATATTCATACTTCTCAAATGATATCCATTTCTGATATCGATGGACAAATGTAAGACTGAAATATGAAATTATGAATAAATATTACTGAAAAAAAATTCTTTAAAAAAATTTAAATTTTTGAAAACTTTCGTTACTTTTATTTTATTCCATTATTCCAATTATACTTTCGATGATGAATTGAATTCAAAATAAACCAAAAATGATTTTATAATTATTTAATAGATATGCATAATTCTTCATTACTGAGACTTTATCTGAAATTCTCGAATTATTTTTTCATCACTGCATTCCTGACAATCCCTCTACCGGTATATATGGTAAATAACGGTATTATTTGTTTGACAAGGTCATTTATTACAGTCAACTATGTATTAGTCACATTAATCAAATTGCTAATAATCATTAGTGATATCATTTTCAAAATCATAAGTTAAATTTTATTTAAGAAAAATTTCAAAAATAAGTTAACATTATTAAAAGACAGAAAATCATTTTCTATTTTAATGAAATATGGCAATGTGTAAATTATACATATAAATATATTTTATATATACTTATAATCTATAAATTTTCCCCGCAAACAGAATAAATTGGTAATTTCTAAAATAATTAATGAAATTTTAAAATAATTAATATGATACAATCATATAATTAATTTTAAAATAATTAATATGATACAATCATATAATTAATTTTAAAATAATTAATATAATGCATTAATGTAAAAATTAATATAATTAATCGAAATATAATGCATGAATTAGTTGATAAAATACAAATGAGAAACAAAATAAATTTGCATATAGACAAACAAAAGACTATTAAATATCAATCATGCAGCAGTAATTTCCCACAGAGAATTGCAACAAAAATTTTTTTGTGATAGCTTTTCCATTGTTTCTTTTCTAATAAGCACATAAGAGGAAAGGAAATAATTTATTTAATTGAAAGGTCATATGAATTGACCTAATGAAGAAAGATCAAAGCCTTCAGCAAAAAGAAAAAATCTTATAATTCTCAAATTATAATATTTTCTAATTTCTTATTTTGTAAAACTTTTCATACTAATTTTCTTTTAAGAATTTTCAACATTTCGATTTCATTTTTTGTGATTTGTTTTATTCCCTAATTTTCTCGAAGGCAAACTCTTCTCTTCGCTAAACAAAGAAACATTTTTACTAAGTACAAACTTTCCTTTCACTCCACCTTTTCTTCTTTACCTTCTCGTCGTCGTAAATCAAAATTCATCTTTCACTCACTTTTATCTATTAAGAAAAAGCTCTTCCTAAAGCTGTTCCATTTTTCATTCACTTTTTTTCATTTCAAAAAATGAATTCAAAATTCTGTGATAATTTAGAAAAGGAATGAAGTTGAAATTTTTGATTGGTCGTTGAAATTTTAATTTCATCATTTAATGAAAAGCTAAACATGTTGAATTTCCTTGGCACATCAGAGCAGATGTTGGCAATATAGAAAAGAATGTTGTTTGGAACAGTTGAAGAAGGTTACCAGTAGCTTGTTTCAATGATAATAGCGTATCCATATGTTAAGCTAACATTTGATCTGTCCACGACTGATCATTGATAACATATGAGTGATAAGTTCATCCTCTAATTCTTATTTTTCATTCTAATTTTGTTCCATTCAGCAATTTAATCATTATATTATCCTTTTGTACTGATTATTTTCAACATATGATTGAGCAAAATTTATGACCTATTATTTCTCATTACAAATTTTAAGGCATGTTCAATATTTTTTCATTCCTTTTTAGGAATCTATAAATGTCTTAAATAATTGATGAATTATTGCTTTTAATGAAAATCAAAATTTCATTAGCATTAGAATATGCGCAACCATTATCTTAATCCAACGAATAAGGTTTTGAAAAATTAAAATTTTAAATTGGATTCTTAGAAGAAAATTACTGTATTAGCATTTAAAATTAATAATAATTTCAATTATTAACCCAAGCACTTTTATCTAAAGTCCCTATTTTTATCACTTTTTCGAAGTTGCAACAAACGTTGTAAATTTAATGGAAAAAAGTTTTCATTTAGTTAAAATTAATTAAAAATGGAATTTTATATGATATTACATCTAATATCAAATATCATTTCATGATTTTCAAAAGCGATGGATTTTGATCCACAACATCCGAAGTGGATTTGTTGTTGTTGTCACTTGACCCAGGGTTTAATGATCCTAGGCAGCTCAGAAATTGTCCTATCAATACTATTATTACTCTATTCTATTGCTTATATCGCTATACTAGATCCCGAGGAACAGGTTATTTTTTTCAAATTATAACTTTTGTAAAAATCAATATATCTGATAATCTTAATTGACATTCATCAATTTGTTTCTAAAAAATTACCTACGAAAAGAATAACAGTATATTGTGATAAAATCAAAATTTAATACCAAAAACTAAAATTAAATAAATTCAACATTTAAATTTTGCAGTACGGTCATGTGCCTTGGTTTGCCGCAATATCGATGCCAATTAGCATTATGTATGGTGTAACATCTGCATTATTAATCTTTGGTATTCACAAGTACAAGGTTATTTCTACACTTATTTGTTTATTTAACAAACTTATTATTTATTCATTTGTCTGTCCAAATTATTTCTTTATATTACTCATTTGTCAATTGTTTTATTCAATAATTAATGAAAATTATTAATTTATTTACAAAAAAAAAATCTAATTAATTAAATGAAATTTTAGGATAAATTAATGTATCCGACATTGATAGCTCGAACGATAATTGTCATTTTTATTCAAGTATTTGGTGTTTCAATCATTGCAAAACCATCTCATAATCATTTCACAATCGATGATGTTTATTGGAATGAATCAGATTATGAAAAAGTTCATGAAAGTTTAACTAAAAAAAAGACACAGGTTAAAAATATTAATTAATTTTAATTTAATATAATTAAAAAGAATTACTAAATTTATAATTTAAATATTTTCAAATTTATCTCATTTTAATAATAACAGTAAATTTTAGAAGAGTTCAACAGCCAATGAACGTTTAGTGATATTAATATTTATTATGCTGCTAATATCAATATTTGTATTTTATACACTTTATTCTGTTGTACGATGTATTCGTTATGTGAAAGCATACAAACGACTTTTGGATAGGAAACGTTCACTATTACTTGCTTGTAATACTAGTATGTTTATTTTTTTTTTTTTGCTAATAATTATTTTTAATTGAGAATTTGAAAATATTAATTTAATTATGAATCGTTAATTATCAAAGGGAATAATTATTTCACACAATAAATATTAGATATAATAGATAGGTAGGCAGATCATCAAAGAAAAAGATATAAAAAATATAATTATTATAAAAGATAATTGATAATTAAAAGATCATCACATGATTAAATAAGCTGTCAATATAATAATTAACTTTAAATTTTAAATAAATAAATAAACAAGGCAAATTTGTTAATTAACGAATACATAATTGCAGATCCGGCGAATAAACGACGTTCTTCGCGCGCTTCAGGAAATTTGCAAACATAATAACGCGAAAAATAATCCTTTTGGAATAATTTTTCATTGAAGCTTATCATAATGATCTCATATTTTAAAATATATTTGAATTTATTCGAATTTTTTTTTCTTTATAAATTTATTTAAAAAATTTATCAAAAAAATATAGGTAACGTTTTGTTTCTAATTTTAATTTCAATTTTATTTTTCTATGAAAATTAAAAACAAAAGAAAAGATAATTAGTGTGTAATTTAATTTAACAATAAATTTATAACTGAGAATTGTTTTTGATGATCAATTTACAACTCTTCAACTTTTGATTTAAATCGAAAAATATGAGCAATTTATTTCAGTTAAAACAAAAAAAAGAAATGTTTGCTATTAATTATTTCACAGCTGCCTTTTCAATAATGTATGAAAAACATTTTTATTAATTGTTAAGAGTTAGAACAATGTCAAAGTTGAAATTATATATCTATCATTGTATTCGTTGAATATTTCATTTCTAAAATTGTTACATAATTATAATAAATTTGGTTGAATATTTTTATGCAAAATAATTGGCAGATAGTGAAAGGTTAATATTAATATTTATTTTTATTAAATTTCTGAAATAATTCAAAAACTTTTTTAATAAAATATTTTTTATCCAAAATGTATTAAAAATGAAATTGACAATTAATTTGAAAAATGTTTCATTGAAATTCTAATTGTTTTATAATTCAAAATTTGCAATATATTTGAATTAAAATGAAAGATATTTTTAACTGAACTAAAGAAAATATATATAATTATGAATATGAAACAAACTATATCAAATAATTATAATTATTATAATTATAACGAACAATAATAATAAACAAAAGAAATATATATAATATCATCTGACAAATATAATTTGCATATGCATATTAACTCTGCTATTATAATTGCTTGTTGTAATGCATAATTATAATTGTAAAAGAAAAAGTTAAAAAGTATTTTAATTGAAATAAGCTGCCGTAAATTAAAATTAAAATTAACAATAAATTTTTATTATAATTAAATCTGAAAAAGTAAATTTGAATAATATTTAATGAATAAAATGAAGATTATCATGTAAAATGGCAAATAAAATTTTTGAAATTATTGGCAGACGGTTGATATTTTTGTTTCAAAAATGTTTTCGAAATTTCATCGATTTAAAATAAATTTTTGTGCAATGAAACAAAAGACTTCGGTAACATCAAAGATTTCAATTCTAATACAAAATAAATGTTGAAATTTTTGTTTTTTTACAGATAAAAATACAAATTTGATACAATAAGTTAACGATAATATACTACCGAATGGAAGAATATTTAAATCAAGTTAAAATTTATTATTAATTAATTTTAATTGGAAATTTGTTAAAATCATTTTTTTCTTAGTTGGCCATTTTTTTTCATAGAAATATTTATGTGAGTTAAAATAATAAGCTATATAATTAGTGAAATATTAGATACCAAATTTATCGAATTCAAATACAAATGCTTATAATGGACGAATGGAATGGAATCGAACCAAATCAATGGATAATGCAATTCATCAATTTCGTACTGCTGTACTTATCACAAATGTTAAAGTTATTGAACAAATTCTTAAAGATATGCATAATATTAGTCCTGTAAGTTTGTATAGTAATGTAATGACTTAAATGATTTGTTTTACATTTATTTATATCAAAAAGATTTCTAATGAAATTAAAATTATCGAATGGTTTTTTTACTTTTCAATTTATTCAATGAAATGATTCGAATGATCTGAGAATTAAAGAAATGAATTTGAATTATTAAAATGTGATAATTGCATTAACAAAAAATGATAAGATATGTCCAAAAAAAAAGATGAGAAGAAATAATGAATTTTTACTTATTGACAACATATTTGATTGATTTGTGGAATATAAATTTTGAGATCTCCCTTAATTAATTAAATATCATTAAGAATGGGGATAAATTTGACAGCTTAAAATATCCTACACAATAATTTTTCTAATTAACAATGAAGGTCATGAAAGTAATATTAACGATCAAAGTGTATCAAAGTGTGAAAAGAATTTTATAAATTATTATTGGGAAATCTCAACTATAGGGTCATATAGAGCGATTGCTGCCATTGCTAATTGACCGATCATCAGCTGAACCAACCAAAGAAGCATTGATGACCGCAATTTGCATCGGAAGTCGTCCATTAGTTGAATTCATTCTATCACTCTTCATGGAATATCCCGGTGAAGAACGTAATGGTTCGTATATTATTTGAGATTGAATAGCGTCTCAAAACATTATTCTACACATATATTTCAAAATCTAAAATACAAAACTGAACAAAAGTGATCAAAATAATTTACATCACTTTGATATAGTGACGATAATTTTCACAATTTAGTATCATTAATTTTTAACAACAAGTTTTACGTTCCTCAATAAATTGATTGCAAAGTATATATTTACCTGTTTTTCATGCCATCATTTTTCAGGATGTCGAAAGTCGAAATCATTTCCAGCTCACATGACACCACTAATGCTTGCTTGCATATGTAATAATTTTTCCGTTGTTCAATGTTTACTTCTCAGAAAGCATTATATGCAATTGCCACATCGACCTGATTGTAAATTTCAAGTTTTTATCGATTTATTTTTTTTTTGTTCAAAGATAAATTTTCTTTTTGCCACCTCAATAATTTTATCAGATTTGAAAATTATCAAAATGAACTATGCCTAAATTAGATTAATTAGATTCAACAAAATTATACAGATTTAGCACTTATTATTTAAAAAAAATAAACTGAAAGGTTCTTGTGATGAATGTTCGCGTAGCGCACATTGTATGGCAAATAGCATAATTTTGTTGGATACCTATCGTGCGATTAGTAGCGCACCATTTTTATGGCTTGCATGTACCGATCCGTTGCTTGCTGCATTCAATCTTGCCATTGATTTGCAAGTATGTGAAGAAATGGAAAAAGAGCACAAGGTAAATTTTGAGATAAATAATCTTTGATGATTAGCTGATCGATTAAATTATTTTCCGGATATTGATCGAGTAAAATTCTAGGATGCTAAACTTCTAAAGTTCCAACATTTTTCACATCATTTGTCATCAAAAATTTCTACAGTTGCCACAAAAGTCTTTTAAAATTCGAATCTATTATAGATTTTGCGGGTAATTATTTGTCTATTCGAAAATTTCTATCTTTTTTGAAAAAATGAAAATTCAAGAAAAAAATCAATCGATAATGTTATTTCTATTTGCTAAAAAATTTCTGAAATTATTTAAAACGGAAGATATGAGTAATACAGGTAGCATATAATGATTTACGTCATAATGTGATGATATTTGCGGTCAAAATTGCTGAACAATGTTGGACAGCAGAAGAAATCAATGTGCTGCTATCACGTAAAGTTGGATCACCTTTAGCTGATTGCGAATTACCTTTTCCACGTATCCAATTAGCTCTCAAATCTCATATGAAACCAGTTAATTTTTTACTACCAATTGCTCTATTTATTCATAAGTAGCGAAGCTTAATTTATATTTGTAATATATTTTTGCTGAATAATGCGTCTATTGATGCAGCTGCAACCATGTGAATATCACAAATGAATTACAATACTCATAAATGAATTACATATTCATGATGATATTTGCATGAAGATTTTGCATATTGATAGTATTAATCATAATTATGATTATTGATGATAAGAGAGATAACAAAATTGATATTTTTCGTTTCATCACATAAATAGTCGAATGAATTGAAATAAAAGTTACCCATATATGAATTTTAAAACATTCTTAAATAATATTTGCATTAAAAAATAACAAAATTTTTACAGTTCCTTTCTTCGTTGAGCGTTCAAGCAACAATAGAAGGTCATTGGCATGGAAGATGGACAGATATTGGAAAATCTAAATTTCAAGATTTAAGTCGTAAATTTCGACATTTCTTATGTTACCCAATTTTAGCATTATTTCATATAATCAGCGCTGGATTTTACATTGAAACATTTAAATACCCATTGGCACGGTGAGTTATGCAACAATTAATTATCAAAATTATCAATCAAAGGAAATTTCATAAACAAAAGATTTTCTACACTTAACAAAAGATTTTTTAAACTTTTCAACTTTTTTTTAAACCACTCCTATCGAAAATGATTAAAATGATAAGTTAATCCGAAAAAAAATGAAAGTAACGATCAAATGGCAATGTATGCTAATTTTTATAGTGAACTAAATGATAATAATGATAATAATGATAATAATTTATGATCTTTGAACCTTCAACAATAACAACAAAAGAAGACAATTTTAAATTTTTACGAACTAAATTTTAATTTCTTAAAAAATTTATATAAAATTAAATTTTTTAGATATACGAGCAGATTAGCAAGTTATATACTATTCCTTATTATTTTAATTTTTATTCGATTTTTTGGTAGGACAGGTGAACGATCATCCGAGCGATCGCTTCTTAATAGTTGTTCGTTTAAAAATTAATAAATAAATTTTGCTATTTTTTTCAACAATAAACTTTGCTTTTATAATATAAATTAAATTTGTAACAGAGAAAGGAAAAACTTTTTTACTAACATTTCACAATGCTTTAAATGGCTTTTAAAATAATTTCTTCAAATTTTATGTTTAATATTTGTAAGAGAAAGTAATTGAAAAGGCTTAAAACAAAAGAATTTGTCGAAAGAAAAATTTGTTGAAATTTTGTAGCAAAAATATTAAATATAAAATTGGAAATGAATTTTTCTTTTTTATAGATTTACGCTTAATATTAGAAAGTTATGTATATTTATATGTATATGGTTTAGCTGTCACGCATTATATCGAATTTGCCAGCAAAGGTTTAATAAGATTTTACAGCGCGTGGTGGCGATGGTTATTTTTGTTTTCTTAAAAAATGAAATAAATTTAAATTCAAACTTAATAAAACTTTATTAATTTATAAATAAGCTTATTAGAATTGTTCAAAATTTAGCATATATTTATAGGTTTGATCTTATTTTAATATGGCTATTTTCGGGATCATTTTTTTGCTTTATTATGACAGCGGTTACCATTAGTCAAGATGGATTAAAACAATTACATCGAAGGCATTGGGTTCATTTTAATTATACTGCAATATATATATATAGATATATTAAATAAAATTCAAATTAAACTTATAAAGAAATAATATTTTAGGCAATATGATATATTAAATCTAAAACAATCAATCGATAATTATTAAATTACTAAAATTAGTGCATTTACTATTTTTAATTATTATAATTCTAGGTATATTATGATTTTTCAATAATTTATGATATTTACTTTGGTGCAGCTTCTGTAATGGCATTATGGAGAATTTTATATTACTTTCAGCTACAGCGATATATTGGCTCAACTATTGTAAGTATTATTAAAAATATTTAAATATGCTGAGTTAATTTATTTTCTCTCTCAAATAACCTTAACTTCTTACCACCTAAATTTATCATATATGTATTAGTAATTTATACGATCCCTTCTAGGTGAATAATTCTAAAATATTATGCCATTACTTAGGAAGAGATTAATAAATATTAATTAGTATAGGAATTAATAATACCTTTCAGTTTCTTCTTAGCTTGTCTGAATTTCTTGAATACATTGAAAAGATTTGCATAACTATTTAGTTGATTACTTACTTCTAAGTATATGCATAATTTTCTAATGAAATCTTTCATTTTCTTCAGTCTTTTTCTATTATATACATTATCAGTTAAAATTTTAGCATTGAAAACTTTAACCTATTCTGATTTAAAAAAAATCTTAATGTCTTCTACTAATCTTAATTATACTTAATAATATTAATAAATGATTAAATTTCCACCAATTTATTAATTATAATTAAATATATTGATGAAGAATATATGCTTACCATTGAAATTTATATGACTTAAATAATTTTGCATAAGCTTACTAAAATAATTTCGATCTTTTATTCTTAATTTATATTATTTATATTGCTATTTATTTCAAATAATAATCATCAAAGAATTTGTTCTTTTTTTTTCGATTATTCATAATTATCAATTTCTTTTCGGATATCAATCTCAAAATGTATTCGCGATATTATGTCATTTTTGTCAATAGTTGCTATCATAATGATATCCTTCTCATTGGGTATAAATACAATGTATCAATCTTATAATGAAAATCGTGAATTGGATGAAGATGGAAATATTATCCAACAAAAAGAAACCTATTCAAAGTATGGAAAAAAATATTTATATTCTAAAAATATTAAAATGTTCATTTTAAAAATATATTTAAATTCCTATTTTTATTTTTTAAAAGAAAATTGATTTCAAATTTGACTATAAAATGTTTCATTTTGATAACGAATTAAATTTATTTCACCGATAATTATAAGACAATAAGTATTAGTAAAAATTAATTAATTAAGCAATAATTTCATAAAAATTCTATTTTTTACTGAAATTATGTCATTATTCTTTGTTTATATTTCATTCTTCCTTTTTTACGATATAATTTTTTTTTGAAATTACTAAAATTTAAATTTTCTAGCATAGGGATAACATTTCGTAATTTATATTGGTCATTTTTTGGTTATCTTGCTCCATGGGATTATAAAATTGTTGTGGGTAATGCTGGGCCTAATCAGAAGCCTATCGTACATTCACTCACTAATTATGCTGGTGAAATCACAATTGCCGCATTTCATATCACTGTTATAATGATTTTACTAAATTTGATGATTTCAATGTTGGTTCAAACGGCTGATAAAGTTCTAGTTGGTTAATTTTAAATTAAGCAAAGATTTACAAGAAAATTTATTTTATTAGCTTACACAATTTTTATTGTCTTCAAATTGATGCTAATATTTTTTAATTTCAAATAATATTCTCTCAAATAAAATAATTTATTTCAAATAGTAACAATGCATAAACTTTAGCTGTCACTTTCTCTAAGCATCAAAAAAAAGATTTATAAGAAATTTTTTGCTATTGAATCTTTTATTGATAAAGATAATTAATGAGACAATGATATTCCTGAATGTTGTAAATTGTAGAAAAATGAAGACATGGAGTGGAAATTCACTCGTTGCCAAATTTATTCAGAATATTTCGAGTGGTTTACCGCTATTCCACCACCACTTAATCTCATATACAATACAATTTGCGGATTATATAGAACATTTTCGAATAAATACAAATTTATTTATCCTGTAAACTATGCATAACTTATATATCAGTAGTACAATTTATAGATTATTTAATGAAATTAAAATTTTAATTAAGTTGTTAAATTTTTGAAACTATTGCAATAGGATGTAAGAAATATACAAATTCCCGTATATCCGTATTTATTATGCAACGTTTATCGGATTTAGACGAAAAAAATCTTATTGTTTAAATACTTTCTTTTCCGGAAATGAATATAAACGGTATCTCTTACTGATCAAGAACGATAGAAATGAAATTACAGTAACCTCATTCTTAGCATGAAATTTACTGCTATTAAAGAACATAACTATAGAACAGTTGTATAGTAGCATGTATAAACAGTTTGCGGATTATATAGAACATTTTCGAATAAACACAAATTTATTTTTATATGTGTGCTATATATTTATATATATATATATATATATGCTATATATCAGATGGTTCCGAATTTGTGAACAATATCCTTCTTTCAGGATTTATGGATTCCAATTAAGATTTTGAAACCATCTCTAAACGATGTTATTGAGCAGGACTTTTTATATTTAGTAAGCTGAACTTTAACCTAAAAATATCATTAATAATCTCATATCTATCTTTAAAATATACATGAATGATAAGTTTATAATGAATTTTATTCTAATAATATTAGGCATAGCCAAGGATTTTGCTCCAACTTCATTTATTTAAAAATTAAGATATTGTTGGTTTTAACTATCTCGCATTCCAAATATCATTTTCTTGCATTAAGGAAAATCGCCCATTTCATTTGATTATCTAATTATATCCAGTCAGTGATCGCCATTCCAATCTCTCCTGTTAGTAAGAGACTGCAAAGCAATCATACGGATATAATTAATTCAAATGGCTAATTTAATCCAAAATGATTAATTGCTATATCAGAGCATACCGTTGAAAGTTCTAACACGCACTAGAATTCTACACAACAATCTAAAATTTCATGAATTTATTTTACTTTAAATTAGATTTAATTAATATCTACTTAAAATTCTGGAAAGATTTTTTGAGTGCTATTCAAATTTTCATAGTATTAAAAGTTTTCTAGAAATTAATGAGATTATTATTCGAGCGTTATCGATTTGCTGAAGAATATCACTACCAAACGGTAATGAAGGATGATACCGATCGATTCATTAATAAGGAAAAGCACGTATGTCAAAGTTTTAAAATATATTGGCTGAATGATTAAAAATCATCCAGTATAAATTATTGACTGATTCGGGAAACAAAAGATGGCTATGCTCATTAGAACATATCCATGCATATTTGTTGTTAATTTTCAGATGCGCCCGCTTCTTTCATTTATGAATTCTTCACCGATGCCATATAAAATAATTATTTAATTAAATTCTACCATTTAAAAAAAATTTTGATTTTTTTATTGTTTAAATTTGAAATAAATATTGTTTGCCATTTGTCTTCTTTTAAAGAAAAGAGATTCCGCTCATTAGATCCTATAAAAGGCATTGATTGATATGGACAGTGCGATGATAATATATGGTCATCGGAGTTGGAAATTGATAAGGAATGTGTACAATAGTTCATATGTCACCCTAAAAATGAATGAGAGCTTAAGGGCTTAAGGAAGGAGATAGGAAAACTAAACTAACAAATAATTATAGTTAAACTTTCCGGAATGATAGATCGTTTAACAGCTCCCAACCAGTTAAAATCATCATATCCAGCAGCATCTGATGGACCTTTCAAACTTTTCCAAGTCTAATTCCTAACCCATAGAATAATAGAAAATTTTCTCAATTTGATTCTAGAATAAGTCCTTTCATATACTATTTCAACTTTCCCTTTATTTTACCTTACAGAGAGAAATGATACATTGCTCAAAAACAGTTTCACAAAATATGCTGTGATGAATTTATTACAATATAGAGAGATAAACTGACCATTGTTTATGATGATGTGAAGAAATATAGACCACTGGTCAGCAAGATATAGAGATAGAGATCACTGATTTGGAGGATATAGAAAAAGAAACCATTAGTCAGTAAGATATAGAGATATAGATCATTGATATGGAAAATATAGAAAAATATTGTTGTCAAGTGGTCAGGACAATATAGCTCATTTTCCTTTACCACTCTATCACTTCATTGAATAAATCAATCAATTATTCGATGAATAATTAAATATCGATCAAAGAGAATGATGGTAGTAGTGGAATATCTCTACCAACAGCATATTCGATCGCCTTGTCGGGAAGAAAACCTCTCACTCCAACCGACCAACCGACCGACTCATTCTGTTAGGTAGTCATGGCATCGCATAGTTTGCGCATAAGTCATTTCGTTCTTCATTTTTGAACATTTCTAACCTCTTCTCTTCCATTAATTCATCTAACATTTTCCTACTTTTTATTATTCCTTTTTTTATTACTATTGAATTTTTTGATTCTTTTGATATTCATATTGGTTTGAAGAATATTGCTAATTGAAAAGTGGGGAATTATCGATTTTCCAACATAACAATAGGGAAGGTCATTCAATGTCTCCGATACTATTTCATTCTTAGCATATTTAATGGATGAAATATATGGTAAGTACTTTGAGTACATCACTATTCTACATTTCCTCCAATAGATTTTCATCGCCGGATATTTATATTGCTTTCAGTTTACAGAAGTAATAATATCTTGAACTTATTGAATAGGTACTAATGGGTTCATTCTCTTACATTACATTGAAAATTCATTTGTAAATTAATAGACTTAAAATTTAAAAGAAAACGCATAATTTTGCTTACTACTGATAAGACTTTAATAAATCTATAAGCTAAATTTTTTTATGAAAAAAAGTATGTGATAAAGAAGATTCTATGCGTAGCGATATTTAATTGCAAAAAGAAATTATTTTGAATGGATAATTAAACTTAATTAATATTAAAAGAATTTTCAGCACTTCATATATCGTACTAAAGTTATTTTTACATTGTTGATCGCATACTTCTAAAAAAAAAATCACTTATATCTTAATTAATTTTACAGCAAAATATTCATCAATACTTGATTTGTTATCATTTCATCTTTCTTCCACTTTATCATTATGAAAGTAATATCTTATCACCTTATCTATCATGAAGGATAGAAATAATCTTAAAATATTAATAAAAATCCATTTGAATGAATATTTTGATTGCTATTTGTTTGATGGACATTAGTACGAAAAATTTTTTTTGAAAGTATTTTAACTAACTATGGAGTACTTACTGACAGCCAAATTATTTATAATTCCTCTGCAAAATCAAAGTACAGGATGATTTTAAATTTAAAATGATGATTCATTTGGTGTTATTGATTAAGGATAAATTTATTGGTCAGTATTTGTGGAATTTTTTTCACCCATTCATAATAATAAATGAAATGAATAATATTAGCAGTAATGAAATATGTAAGTATTTCAAACTGATTAATATATGAATATAAAAGCAAGCAAACAGTAAACAAAGAAAAGTAAATAAATAAGATGAAGTGATTAATGAAGAAATGAGTTAACATATAAACAAATAAGGAATATCATATATCTTTTAAATTATTGCATAAAAATGAATTCATCCACCAATTATTAGAAATATAAAATTTTAAATGAAACAAACAAATGAATGTTATGTGAATTTCTGTAGTGAAAAAAATTATCGCAGATCGGATCTAAGAATAGCGCTTCATTTGTTAATATGAAAATATGACACTTTCAATTTATGAGTAATCACTTTTAAGATATTTCTCAATCATTTCTTCATATTTCATCCAAATTTTTAACATTAAAAAATATTTAATTATTATTTTTAAAGTAAACTTGTTGGCAAATTCTTGTAATTTCAACAACAAAAATAACTCATTTTTCTAACATAAATATAGATGTTGAAGTATATTGGAACTGATTCATTTCCATTAAATTTTAATAATAAATATTTTGATATTTAGAAATTAAATTTGCTATTTCATATGCTTTTTATTTATTCAATAATATAAATAAATTAACATTATTGATATATTCTGCCTTTCCATGTATTACAATAATTTTTAATAGATTTTTTTAGATATTTTCAATATCACGTCGTTTCATAGCAAAGATTATTTGGTATTTTCACATATCGCGTCATTTTATAGCAAACATTATGTGGTATTTTCACATATCACGTCGTTTCATAGCAAAGATTATTTGGTATTTTCACATATCACGTCATTTCATAGCAAACATTATTTGGTATTTTCACATATCACGTCATTTTATAGCAAACATTATTTGGTATTTTCACATATCACGTCGTTTCAAAAAGTTGTTAGATTTCTATACTCACATTTTCCTACCTATATTGCTTCCTATTCCATCATGCTCATGTGGCCATTCCTACTTTTCTTTATTCTTCATTTAAATACATTGAAGATGACTTATTCTTGCTGTAAAATTTAATTTCAATATTATCCTGAGAACGCTTATTTTTTCTGAATTTATATTCCACAAAATGTATTTTATTCTATTCATAACAGTAATCAATTAATCGTATAAATTTTCATTAAAAAATTTTTCTTTTGATATTAGTGATATAATTTTTTATCAGTTCTTTATCATTGCTTGTTTTAAAATTAGTCATACTGTATTTTCTATTGTATTTTATTAATAATTTCTATAAAATTTTAAAAATGGCCGAAAATCTTTTGCTAAATTCTTTAACTTACTGAAATTTATATCAGAGGATTTTTATGGCAAGAAACTTTTGACATAATTTCAGATTACTTGAATTTTAAAGACGACGATTGCAGGATGATAAATTTTAGGAGAGAATTTAGCATAATCCAGGCTATTCGTGCGATTGTCGCGATACATGAAAAGAAGTTGTTTTTTTGAAATAGGCAAACTTTGTTTCTATTGAGCATAATTTTTCATCATTTTAAATGTATTATTTAATTTCAATTGTTTTCCTATCAAATTATAACACTAACTGATATCAAAAATATCATTCACGTTTGCGAAGATAAAATTACGTACAATTTAACTTTGATTGAAACTTACGTATGCATTACTATGGTTGTAATTTAATAATTCCATTCACCAAATAAAATTTAGATACTAAATTATGAAATGAAAGTAGTGATATTAGTATTTTATGCAAATACCATAGTCCATAAACTAATCAACTGAGTTATCGAATTTCCGTGCGATGTTGTGGATATTTCAAATTGATTTCGAAGATTGCAGCTTTATCCAACAAAATTTTAAATTTCAGGTATTCAGTTATGGTTCACAGTATATATTTGCTATGTTTAGCAAGTGTAGTGACTGCAGTTACACATATCGATGATTCTGATGAAAATAAAGGTATCAAAATATTCGAATTGAAGTAAGTGAAATTCAAATAATTATAAATTACTTGCACAAATTTGAAACTGAAATACGGTTTGCAAGTGAAACGCAAAAATTTTTGATTTTCAATTTCATCATCCTGAGTTTATCTCAAAATAAGTTACTGTATCATTTTGAAATTGCATTGTTTGTCGGGCCAGCATTTAACTATTTCATATCATTTAACCTGATTAACAGAGATGGTGTATTTCGTGATTTTTGGCTTACTTAAAGCTTCTAGGAGTGTGGTACTTTGATACTACTAGGCTTACAAATATTGTACTGAAGTTCACATGGACTAAAACACTTTTCTTCTAAATTTAGGAAGACAAATGATTATATTACTGATATAATTTTTCTTTTCTTTTCTTTTAAAAAAGTAATTTTGAAACAAAAAAAGAGTTAATTATCGTATCGTTGAAAATCATTAGAAATGATTACCCAAACAGAGCACGAAAAATGAGCTTTCATTTCATTCTTTCGCTCATTTCCACTTTCATACTTTAATCATTCCCGTTAGACCGTCGTTGATTGTCGACAAGTATTTACGACTTTTTTCATCAAATTTGTCATCTTTCGGCAAATGTAAAAGAAAATTTTGTATTAGTTTGATCAGGAAAAAATCCAAAAATTTCAGTAAGATCGTAATAATGCCTTACAGAGCAGTTGATTTGTTGGAACGCTTCATTAGGTACTATAATAATTTCTTAATTTCAAATTATTCCTTTAATTATTTATCTGAACAAATTACAATTATTGTATAACTTCACCGTTTATTTAATTCTTTTCGTTATTCTTTATTAAATTACGAGTAATGAAAAGTAATTAGAAGTAAAAGTAAAATTAATAAAGTTTTAAATTTAAGCTTATTCTATCATTTTATTTCCTTTCCTCTTGCATAGAGTTTATTATTATTATGCAGTTTTTTTCCACTTCGGATATTCTTATCTTGTTCTAAATTTTTCAAAAATTTTCCTTATAATTTTTAACAGAGCATAGAAAGGATTACAAAGTTCTCAGGCATATATCAATGATTTTATGATTACTAATTACATTACTGATAATTATTGTTATTCTAAATTAATTTCGAAATCTTCTTCAGGAAAAGTTCATTGGCATGTCCAATAATTGTGGTTGGTGAACAATGTCCAGAAGAAACGCCACTATACTATTATCGTTGTTGCGGTGATTTGAATAGTTCCTGTTGTTTTAGGCTTCAGGTAATTTCAGTCATTTCATATGATACTTTTCATATAAAAATTTAGGTAAAGAAACAGATGCAAACGTCATTATTCATTTCATGAAAGATATTGAAGAAAGTCCCTCAGAAAAACCATTCATATATCTGTCAAAATTATAACCTAAAATAGATTGATTTAATCTAAATTGAAAATTATCCTATTATTATAATACAAATCAGAAATGAAATATTATGGAATTTTTCTTTTTTTTCATTTCATTAAGAAAAACAATAGAAAATTAATATGTACCAAAGGTTGTGCTATTGTTTGAAATAATTTTACATCATTCCACCGTTTTTTTCCTAGAAATTGCGGTTATTTCTTTAATTCATACATCGAAAGATAATAAATAAAAACAAGTTTTCAAGCGATAAACAGTTGATATTTTGTCTCGATCGACTAGAACGGGAAATTATCAACAAATTATTGAATGATTAAAATACTAATAACGGGTGATCGATCGCCTTTCATATAGGAATAATGTCGGTTGTTTTTGATAGATCAAAAACAATTAATAATCGAAAATGAATATGTTATATGTATATGTACATTATTATTAAAATAAAACTCACTGTTAATTATTAGTAAAAACTAATTATTAATTGAGATTCATTGTTAATTATTAATTAAGACTGTTAATTATTAAAAAATATAAATAAGACTCATTTTGATAATTTTTGCTGAGTGTTTTCTTCATATCCTTCGCTATGATTTGTGAAAATAAAATCTTTTTGTTACTCTAAAATTTACCTTAAAATATTTACGGATGTCTAAGTAAACAATGTGAAATTAAAAAACTAAATCATTTTTATCTTATAATCAAAGAGGGATAATGTGATAATGAAATTCTTGAAAATGAGACATTTTGAATTTTAAGAATTATTTTCATTATTAAAATGTTGAATGTTGCAAAGCATAAGGAAATCGAAATTCATTTTGTTGCCACTCTCATCTCTTCCAATTGAAAGTTTAAATGAATGAGTGACATTGTTGAAAAGAATGTTGCAGCATATGTATCATCCTCGATAAGTATCTCAAATTTCTCTTATATTCACCGAGGATAATATTTTCAGATAAAGCATAGTATAATTTGTTGAGTAAGAAAAATCTTTCCATTACTGATATCAACGAGATATCGCTTCCATTAATTGTATTTTTACTTTTTGCAATAATGAAATTCACGTTCATTCGCTTAATAACATTTTATATTAATTATAATATAAAATGTGAACGTAAATTTATATTGTCCATACAAAACGAAATTACTAATATTCACTACTAAAAGAATGAATGATAAAGGTCAGTGCAATAGCAAACACCAGTTATTTGGTCATTATTTATCATACGCAAAGTAGATAATATGCTAAAAAATGCATACATCAATCGATTTTATGATTATTCTATCAATTTTAAATGAGTCGGAATAAAAATTAAAAAAAGCGTTTCTTATTTTCAGGAATGGTTCATTGCACTTTTGGTGATAATGGGTATTTTGATCGCCGGAAGTCTGATCGTTAATTTCATCCGTTGTCTTTTCTGTGCACGATAATTTTGCATTTTTCATACAAAATCACATAATATATGTAAATTTAAAAATGATTTAAATTTAACTTATCGATATTATTATTACATATTTTACTTTCTTTCTTACTCTTTTACTCTTTCCTTTTACTGATAGTATCACTGAATTTTTGAAGATTTCTTTTGAGACGATAAATAAATTATCATCTAATTTATGGAAAATTTGATTTGTTGAAGAAATAATTGGAATATATTTAAAAGAAGAAACCATAAGTTTTGCTACTAAATGAATCTGCTTAAAGTCAAATCAATAATTTCATTTTGAGGAAGCTGCACCTCTAAACTTTAAACTTTTTACCGATGCAGTGATTTGTTAACCTATTCTGTGGTTTTTTTTTAATGCTATATCATCACTATGCCAAAATTATTCCAAATCATCTTTTATACCTTTGAGTTATTGCTCCATTATGTTAATCAATTCCTATTGTTCTTTGAATTATTATGTACAATTGCATTAGATAGATAGATGTAAGAGAGGGAAAGTGAAAAATTAAAAATGAAATCACTTTATGTATTCAGAAATGTATTTCATATTTCTTCGAATAGCTTATATTTATTTCACAACAAAGATTCAATAAAAGAGTTGAAAGTTTCAAGAGCTAGCTAATTGACATATGAAAAATGTGAAAATTAATCTACGAGCTATTACTAATTTTGAATAATTTAGGTGCCTTATGAAAGCTATATGTTGATATTCTTCATCCTGCAATCATTATACTCTGTCATGTTTAAAGATATCTTTTTGATGTGTTGCGCCTCTTCCCGTTCTATTTCTATTTAATCATCAAAAAAAACAAAAACTTAAATAAAGTTGAAAGTCTTTTCTACTTTACATTTCTCTTTTGATAAGTCAGTATGTATGACAATTATTACTTTAATTGGAATAATATGCAACGATGATGGAATAATATGCAACGATGAAAGTACATCGAACATTGCGTTATTCAATTGAAAAATTTATCCAGCATTATACTTGTAAATAGGAATTAAAACTGTAGATTTTCTTTGAGTCATTGAAAACACCTAATCAGAAATGCTTTTTCAATTTGATAGTACAGCAAATAGAGCAATAACAGTCAGTGCTTTTCTGTCTCATTCGAATTTCTTTGTCATCTCTTAATTAATTGCCTAATGAGCAATTATGACCAATATCAGTCTTTATGATACCAAATATTCAATCATTCCGCCTTAATTTGAAGTTTGAAGGAGCGTAAACCAAAATCAATTAGTGATCAATTAAATCGAGAAAGCGTAGGAATCGATGGTCATTGAAAAATAATACAATTCTTTTATGAAACAATGGTGAATACAAAAGATTATTATTATTATTCTACTAAAATAGAGAATCGGTAAATATGGAATGGCTGGAAATATCGATTATTTCTTAATCAGTTCCCTAATTAAAAAAACATTAGGATAAATAAAAAGTTTACAGTTGTGGTACAGAAAAGCTCTCTTCTTTTTTCCCCTTTCCTCTTTCCTCTTCTCTCCAACGATCGTTTTCCAAACACAATTTTTGAAAGCGCAGAGCCAAGATCGAAGTTGAATGATAAACAATAGCGACAGCTATCCATTTTCAATCCCTCTCCACCAAATTTTCCTCACATTTCCGGCCTTTTTTGATCGTTACTATCGCCCTAAGCGCCATTCATATAACCGATCATCGATAGCTATAAGAACAATCAAGAGAGATTTCTCAGAACGATAACAGCAACTCTCCGCATAATTCAATCATGTGGAACATAGTTCTTAACGGAAAACTGGAATAATTTTATGATGTAAAGCGGCTGAAATAATTAAAGCAATTTTGTATTATTGAAATCTTCACTACAAAGATTGTTCGTTAGTGATTAAATTATCCTAAATTGTTAAGCCAACTTCTTGTTCTCTTTACTTTCTTTATGCCCAAAAGGATTACAAATAATGCGCTTTGATAGGATTAGTATTACGATAAGTATCATAACCCGTACCAGTATTAATAAAACACTCTACACCAGCAGTACTAAGGAGAATACTGCCAACATGGTAATTGACTATTATCTATAATATATACTGATAATCGTCTTATAACGTACAAGAGCAAATTTTTTAACCAATAACATCTCTATCCTAAGCCGTATTCGCCTCTATTCAATAGTCAAAAAATTCCCACAACATCTCGCTCTCCTTACCATTATTTTAATATCATTCAACAAACCACCATTATAGTTTCTCATCCCATTCCGGTAGAAAATGATTTTTTAGTAGTTTTATCCAATCTTAACGTTTTATCCAATCTTAATGTTAACATTTCTAAAATCAGAATTCCTTACAATATTAGGCGGAAATTCTTGCTTTCTTCATATTTCAGTCTCTCTTCCATATTTTAGAGATTTTGATGTACGCAGCATAGAGACGTAACAGTTAATTAAAGACTATCTTTTATGAAAATGTAGCATGTGAAACAAAAACATCGAAAATTATTGCACAGATATACAAAGGGGATAAGTTTACATGATACATTACATATTAATTAGAAAGAATGTATACAGCTGGACGCCATAACTAGAAATTTTTGATGGAATGTAAGAATTTAATTAAATGAATCACTGCATCTACTGAGATCACCAAGACTGTTTGGTCAATTAGGTAACATTTCAAATAAATTTGCTAATGGAAATATGATCATAACGTGCCAACTATTTCAATCAAGCAGGATTTAACTAATTAGACCGTTGAAATTCGATATACTCCTCCCTCTCAGTAATTTCCAACTGCGATAGGTTTTAGATTATCTTCCATGAGAGGAATCTTTTAGCATTCCATTAGAAAATGATGAATATCTAAATATGAAAAGCTGTCACAAAACGATTAATTCACTCATTCACTGATAAAAGGAATTTTCAGCCATAATATAATAATTTTTCTTCTTTCTTGACTTTTTTAATTTCCAATTCATGTTTACATACAATATGGTCGAGGCAATCCTACCATTGGCGTAATCTAGAAAACGGTCAGTTCTCAATTCACAAATTTCCTGGAGATTTCGTCGAAACCATTTTGAATCAGAGATTGGAGCAATCCCTAATTAACATGAATAGAAACATAGAATACAAGCTTATCTAAAAAATCAATAAGAATTTTTCAAATGGAAGTTTCCTTTCGATTCAAACATCCACCGATAATATATTCAAAGGCAGATTATTAGCTATACTAATTCAGAGAAAATAACAATGACAAAGAACCTAAGAATATCTCTATATAGAAATAAAAGACAAGATTTGTAAATCTGATAACGTATCAAAATGTCGTCTTTGATCATCAATTACTGAACGTTTCAGACATCAAACTCTGCACAACCACCGAAACTCTATCTACCGGTTCACATTCCCGTGCCATGTCGATCACATTCAATAATTTCTTGATTCCAATGAAGTATCTGCAAATTACTATAAATTAAGCATCAATTTTTTTTCTCTTTTTAATATAATTTTACTGCATAAATTGTCAGTACAAATAACCAAATTTTTTTTCTTGATCTAGAAAGTTAAATAATTTGACACTATAAAAAGTTTCGTCACAAAATAAAATTAGAAAGAAATCAGTGGCAAAAAATTAAAAAAAAAAACCAATGGCAAAATATAAAACGATTTGTAATTAATAAATTTTCTGCAACCTTTGTCTTCATCACGAAATTAATATTAAGTTCTAGCATACAAATTGCATGTGTATACAATTTAACTTTTGTTTCTTAAAAAAAACCAAAAAGACAAAGTGACTTACTCTTTATGGGCACGAGAAAGTTCGCTACGGATCTCTTCACATTCTTGCCGTGAAAGTGCATTTGTGTCCTCAATAACAGCCATAATATGTTGTACGGTTGTTAGAGCTGGCACATCTATTATTGTATAGAATGCTGACAACAAACCGAGCTCACGTAAGAATGAACGATTACTTGATGTAGCGATAACAAGTAAACGCCGATTCTGAAATATTGGCTCATTATGAAAGCACAGAAAATATCACTTTGCACAATGTATAACTGCTCAAATTCAATGAACAGATTCAACCGGATGATAAATGCCCACAACCGAATGTTTTACAATTTTAAAGCTGAGAATTTAAATGTCTACTAATGTAGTATAAAAACATACCTGGGGTGGTAGCTTCTTCACTAAAAGGAATAACGCCTGCAGGACCAAATTTGAGTATCGTGGACCAATTGGTGAAAAATCTATAAAATTAATCTCGTAATGCCATCATACGAAAACCATAAAATGAAAATCCAATAGAATGAGCAAACAGTAACAAAGCTTATTCATTTACTTTAAGCGAAATTTCATCATTTAATTAGAAATTATCAAAATAAACAAACCTAATAACCGTTCAACACCATCAACAACGATACAACTGAGCGGGGATCGATGTGCATCATCGAATACCTTTCGCAAGGCAGCACATTTAGCCGTTTCAGTATAACCGACCATATCTTCCGCACTAATCACTTTTATGAACGGATAATCGGAAGCTTTCGCAATCATTGCCGCAAAACAAGTTTTACCACTGTTTGGTGATCCTCAAATCATATGAATTGAATTCAATTGAAGTAAAGAGGAATATGAGAAGAAATACTTAATTACTGTTCAAATTTGTTTGTTTCTGAAAGACAGTTTTTTGAGAATCTTCATGCTTCCTCAGTATTAACAATTTTAATCCAACTTTAAAAATTTTTACTTGGTTACGAATAGATTTATTTTATACAACTTCTACTAACCTGCTAGTAAAACAGAAGCAAATCCCTTTGTATCGGGACTTCGAACTTGTTTTACTAACAAAGCGCCTTGTTCAAGTATTTGAGTAACATGTGTACTCCATGAAATAAATCCGCCAATTAGGTACTTTTCCAATTCTTCGCTGGAATGACCGAAAGCCTAGAAAAAGAAATAATTGAAATCACACTGTGAACATGCTGTCGCTTTTCATTTAGTT